ATTAAGTTTACTTAATCCAAGAGCGTCTCCAAGAGTGTATCTGATGACTTAGCCTTTTTTGACTGCCTGGTATACCTCCTCCTTCCACACACAGCCACTCCCTCCCAGAGGCAAACTCATTTCTTCATAGGAGTTGGAAGTCACCACTACTACCTTTTGGAAAGGCTGTCAGAGGTGGGGGAAGCGGGATAAACTTTTAGCTGTCCCTTATTCCCTTTCCCCAACTGCCTGCTGACCTGGTTTACCCCCTCCCACCATTTAGTGGCTGTGAGAATAAAAACATCACGAATTGAAAGATTAAATGTACTATGTGCCAAGATGATATGCAGGCATGCTTTCCCAAATTCCCCTCATATTCTAATCAAAGAATATAGGATTCTCACCAATTTCACCCTCACACAGTGAAAGGTCTCCCTCAACCTTCATGCAAGGTAAGCAAAGGCTGGTTCATGCTACTCGTGGGAAAAACTGATGGGAAATACAACCTAGGCAAGTAGTTACCCTTTTGACTTCTTCTTCCTTTGTGTACCTCAGACAGAAATGAAACACTCGCAGGTCTTTGCAGTGGATGATGAGTCTCTCAGGGTACTTCTTCAATTGTCCAAAGAGAGTTTTCCTTTTCTCGTCAAATACTATGGATCAGTGATGAAATCAGGGAAGGAAAATTGTTATATGGCAAGAAATTAATGCTGAAGAAAGAAGGTAGACTATATTTTCCCCCTTGGTTTTATTTTGTTGTTGTTGTTGTTGTTGAGACGGAGTCCCACCCTATGCCCTTAGCAAAGTACAATGGCATCTTAGCTCACTGCAACCTCAAACTCGAGCTCTGGGTATCCTGCTGCCTCAGGCTCTGGAAGCTGCTGGGATTACAGGCACTTGCCACAGCGCCTGGCTGGGATTTTCATTTTTTTATGACTCAGGGGTCTCACTCTCGCTCAGATAAGCCTCGAATTCCTGAGCACAAGCAATTGTCCCACCTCAGCCTCCCACAGTGCTGGGATTACAGGTGTGAGCCACTGAGGCTGGCATAAGGTAGACTATTAACTTCCTGATAATAGTCTCAAAAGTTAGAGGAAAGGCACTGTCTGACTACTGGGCGACTGCCTTCAGCAGGGGCCCTGGCTTCTGAGAGCAGTAAGGGTTCTTCATTCCTCTGGAGTAAACACATGGCCAAAGCAGAATGGCCATTGTCAGCAGAACTGACTCCACTGACCCAAAGAAAACTCAGCTCTGAAAATTAAGATTATAAAAGATGGAAGGGATGGGAGGCTGAGGTGGGTGGATTGCCCTGAGCTCAGAGGTTCGAGACTAACCTGAGCCAGAGTGAGATCCCATCTCTAAAAAAAATAAAAATAAAAATAAAAATGGAGGGGAGATTGCTAGGAACCTGCTGTTGTGACATCAACCCCTGGCTTTATGGCCCCTTTGACACCTCCCTCCCTGTCTCAGAATTTGGACCACTCAGTGCCTCCTGGTATTGAGATGACAAATGGTTACTGAAGGATATGGGAAGATGCCCTGAATATAACAGAGAGAGGCTTGGCGGGAGATGCTCGTTTAGTCAGCAGAAAAGATATCCTAATGCAATACAATAGACCTTTATCAGATCAGCTAAAACTTAGACAGCTACCACTGATAGCAACAAGTATAATCAACATGTAATATATAATGGCTTTGTGTGGAGTTCCAAGTTCAAGTTCCTCCAACTAAGTGACCCCAAACATGCCACTTCACATCTCAGTTTTATTATCCATAAATTTAAATAAGATAATGGTGTCAAAAAAACTTAGTAATTACAAAGGGGCCTAAAATTATTAACATCATTATCAGCTATACTTTCAAAGGCTGGTAACATTCCAAGGGAAAACTGATACTTACCTCCATAAATTTGATCAACACAGTGAAGTGTAATGTCATTTTCTCCTATAAGTTTATTCTTAAATTGAGTTTCCTAAAAAATTCAAAAGAAAACAACTGTGACTCCTCTCTGTGCACTGTTTTACATTTATGGGCAGAGCAAATCATCGTTCTCGACTCGTGTACTAAGAAAAGTGAGGGAATGCAGCCACATCCCCTAAGAAAGAAAGCAGTGAAGTGTGTGAGCATTTGCTTTTTAAACTTGAGCAAAACATGCTATTTCTGGGCTGCTCCCAGCAAACCAAACATGCCACACACGATCACTTTGAGAAGTGTGGGGGAAGTGACGCGCACATGAGCACTTCTCCACACTGAAAAGGCAGTTACCTGAAGCCAGCTTTACAACAAAAACCTGCGGAGAGGCGCACTTCTGGTAAATGCTGTCTTTGTATAGGAGTACGGACCAAGACTGCTGTTTAAAGGGTGCTAACAGATTTTTGAGAATGGATAAAAAAATTAAAAATAAATAAATAAACAGCAAGGGTGGTCTGGGAAGGCTGGCACACTGGAGCCAGAGAAAAGCCTTGGCTGGGCTTCCACCAACACACGGGGTCTCCTGGGGTGTGGGCGATTCTCTTACTCGACTGCTCCTTCCTCCTAAGGAGGGGCCAGTCCTTACACTGCTACTACTTCGTAGGTTAAGATTAAACATAAAGTGAACCCAAATTCAATGGCTGCATTCACCACCATTTTAATCATTAAACTCAGTTCCTGAATTTGAGGAAAAGTTTAGTTTAAAATATATAGAGAGAGAAGTAGTATATTTGGTTCCAATGAGTAATGTATACCACACTGACATACAGTAGAAAATGAAGAAAAAGGAGACAGTGTCAATCTGTGAGGTCAAAGCAAGCCCGCACGACATGAGGCACAGATGGGAAATTTCTTTTTTTTTTTTAAGTTTTTTTTTTTTTTTTTGAGACAGAGCCTCAAGCTGTCCCCCTGGGTAGAGTGCTGTGGCATTACAGCTCACAGCAACCTCCAACTCCTGGGCTCAAGCGAGTCTCCTGCCTCCGCCTCCCAAGTAGCTGGGACCACAGGCGCCCGCCACAACGCCCGGCTATTTTTTGGTTGCAGCCGTCGTTGTTTGGCAGGTCCGGGCTGGGGATTCGAACCCGCCACCTTAGGTGTACGTGGCTGGCGCCTTAGCCGGTTGAGCTATAGGCGCCGAGCCCAGATGGGAAATTTCTAAATGGTCCTACCACTTAAGACACTGAAGGACAGAGAGCAGGCCAGTGATGAGGGACTTCTGTCTTTGTTTGTGTTTATGGTGTGCCCCTCATTATTATAAAGATGGGGAAAAGACAAATTCACAACAGCAGCATTGCTCCCGGACTCAGCCAGTATACACAGGCTGTCCTACGTGTTTCTGTGTCAGGGGTACAGTAATTGAGAACTTGAGAAAAAAACTAACAGAGCCACAACTGCACTGCTGCCCCCGATGCAGCCAAACACAGCTCGTACATACATCATTATCCAACGCAGATTCATCATCCCCCAAGAAAGCAATCTTGAAGTCTGTGCAGACCAGTCTCCCGTAGACCCCATGCTGACAGGAATCTTCCTGGACATATTTCAGAACTGTGCTGGCCTCGCAAAGCAGCTGCTCACCTGGGAGAAATCAAAACAGGTCCTCCTTATTACAGACCTCCAGAAAGATACAGCACGCAAACGCTGAAAGCTCTCCAGCCCCATTTAGGAAGTACAGACACAGTACAGTGCAGCACTTCAGAACTTCACCATTTTCGGCCTGGCAGGAGCTACAGAGGCAGGGGAGACGAGGAGGCAGGTTAGGGGCTGTCAGCAGGTGAAGAGTCAAAATGGCCAATGGGCCTTCCTGTGGGGCATTTCTCTGCCTTCTCACTGGGAATAAGGGAAGCTTCCGAAAAGGTGGTAATGATCTCAGCTGCACTTTCAGGCATAGATGTCAGTGTTTGTATTACTCTGACCCACACAGATGTTCCACAGCAGCGATACTGTTATAGGCCCTCAGTGTGCCCCAGATCAGACCCCAAACCCACCTTCCTGTGGGTAGCTAAGAGACTGCTAAGAGACAGCAGAGTGTCTCCCTGGCCCAGGGGCTTCCAGGCCACTTCCTCAAACACGAGAGGTTCTGTCGCCTCCCCAAGCGTGACCACTCTCATTCTGGCTCCACGATGAGAGGAAAAAGGAGGTCAGAGGTTTGTGGGAAAAAAAAAACCGCTTCCTCTCTTTCTTAGTTGAGAGTGTTTCCTCTCAATGTGTTACCTCTCCTGTACCATCTGGGCGTCCAGCCCACGTGAGAAGCTGCAGTGCCTGGAGACAGAGCACTTCTCTTTATAGTCAAAAAAGTTTAGGCTTGGGAGATAGGTAAATATTCCTCTTTGTACAGGACTACGAACCAAGACCAGACAGAGAGGCTGCACCAAGGCCGCTGTTTAAAGAGCAAGGGTGCTAACAGGTTTTTGAGAATGGATAAAAAAATAAACAAACAGCAAGGGTGGTCTGGGAAGGCTGGCACACGGGAGCCAGAGAAACGGCTTGGCTGGGCCTCCACCAACACACGGGGTCTCCTAGGGGTGTGGGCAATTCTCTTACTCGACTGCTCCTTTCTCTCTAGGGAGCAGAGAAGCTTGAGGACAAGAAAAAGAAAAGACTACGGGAGAAATGAAAAACTAAGTATAAATGCTCTGCAACCCAAAAAAAAAAGAGAGATTTTCTTCTCGTCCAACAGGTAACCATCTCTACCCTCAGAATCTCCCTCTGGATATCCCCCACAAGGTCTTTAAGTTTACTTTTGGTTCAAAATTAATTTAGTATAGCTTTCAATATAAAAATAAGAGTTTTATACACTCATAAGAAACATGTATTATGATGCTGGGTTTTTAGTTTTTTTTTTTTTTTAAATCATTCAAGGGGTTAATTACCTCCAGCTGAAACACTAAGGCAATACCGGAAGATGGGTCAGTCACCAGGTCAACCTCGAGAGAGACCACAGAGTTTGAAGAAAACAATGAGGTCAGGGCCTCATCAGAGCTTAAAATAGACCCCCTAAAAGTGCCTCAGCCAAGTCTAAGGTGGAAGACACGTGAACAAGACTTCCTGTGCTTTCAGCTCTCGACGTGAAACAGCTTTTAAGGATGAGGTTCTTCCCAAGAGCAGGCCAGCCCTCCCGTGGTCAGTACCGAGACCAGATACCATATTGGTGTGCACTAGCTAAGACACAACATTCCTTGTGAAACCTTTTGCAAACACGGCATACAGGGTCATAGTAATCAATGTGTATGTACCAGGTACAGAGTCTGGAATCATGAGAGTTAGGAATTACAAATTATCTTAGTCTAGTTTAGGGAACTGAGGTTCAGAGAAGTTAACTGCAAACTCACCACTGCACACCCTGAAGAGACCATCAAGTAATCCCAGAGAAGGGAGAACAGACATAACACTAAACTAAAAATGAAAGTTAATTCCAGAATCTATGGGCCAGGCACAGTGGCTCACACCTGTAATCCTACTGTGTTTCCCCGCAAATAAGACCTACCCCCAAAATAACCCCTAGCAGGATTTCTATGCATTTGTTAAAAATAAGCCCCACCCTGATAATAAGACCTAGTGATGAGTGTGACTATGCAGATTCACTGCATAGCCACACCATGCACTTGGGCACCAAGAAGAAGACATCCTCTGAAAATAAACCCTAGTGCGACTTTTTGAGAAAACATAAATACAAGACAGTGTCTTATTTTCGGGGAAACACGGCAGCACTTGAGAGGCCAAGGCAGGTGGATCAACTGAGCAAGAATGAGACCCCCATCTCTAAAAATAGTTAGGTATTGTGATGGGTGCCTGTAGTCCCAATAGCTACTTGAGAGGCTGAGGCAAGAGCATCAACTGAGCCAAAGAGTTTGAGGTTGCTGTGAGCTTTGATACCACAGCACTTCACGAAAGATGACAAAATGAGACTCTGTCTCAAAAAAGAAAAAAAAAAAGGGCAGCGCCTGTGGTTCAGAGGGCAGGGTGCTGGCCCCATATACTGAGGGTGGTGGGTTCTAACTCGGCCCCAGCCAAACTGCAACAAAAAAATAGCCAGGTGTTGCGGCGGGCACCTATAGTCCCAGCTACTTGGGAGGCTGAAGCAAGGGAATCGCCTAAGCCCAGGAGTTGAGGTTACTGTGAACTGTATGATGCCACAGCACTCTACCATGGGCGATAAAGTGAAACTCTGTCTCTACAAAAAAAAAGTTAATTCCAGAATGTAGAACCCCAAGAAAAGGGAAGACAACAGGTGATATGAGTTAAGGCTTAGGTCATCATTACAGAAAAAAAGGCTTTGTCTCAAAGAACTCAAATTAGACCTCCCATTTGACCCCCACAATCCCATTACTAGGCATCTACCCAGAAGAAAAATAATCATTTTGTCATAAAGACCTTTGCACTAGATTATTTACTGCAGCTCAATTTACAATCGCCAAAATGTGGCAACAACCTAGATCAACCCAGGAATGGATTAGCAGACTGTGGTATATGTATACCATAGAATACTATTCAGCCATAGAAAATAGAAGGTGAATTTACATCTTAGGTAGTAACCTGTATGGAGTTGAACCCTTTTGGGGGTTTTTTTGAGACAGAGTCTCATTATGTCGCCCTTGGTACAGTGCTGTGGCATCACAGCTCACAGCAACCTCTAACTCCTGGGCTTAAGAGATTCTCTTGCTTCAGTTTCCCAAGTAGCTGGGACTACAGGCGCCCGTCACAACACTCTGCTATTTTTTTGTTGCAGTTTTCATTATTGTTTAGCAGGCCCGGCCGAGTTCAAACCCGCCTCAGTGTATGTGGCTAGCACCCTAACCGGTGAGCTATAGGCACGGAGCTATTGAAACCCATTCTTTTTAGTGAAATATCACAGGAATGGAAAAGCAAACACCCAATGTACTGGATGTTAATATGAAGCCAGTAGATGATCTAATACATGTCCACATGAGAGAAAACTCAGTTCAAGTTGGGGGGAGGAGGACTGGTGTGCTGTTGTGTTTCTACTTCATGAGCACAATGGCCCACTTTTGGGTGCAGAACACAACTCTAAGAGGGACTCTACCTAACAAATGCAAATATTATAACCTAGTTGTTTGTGCCTTCACATTAACCTGAAATAAAAGAAAAAAAAAACCTTCGAAATTTAAAAATATCAAATATCAAAAAATATCAAAAAAGGTCACAGGAGTCCAATATACTTTACCAGATAAGGTGTATCAGTCAGAAACTTACACAGATTGATATCCCCTCAATAAACTGGAATAAAATAAAGAGTTCCAGAAAGAAGCCTCTATTGTTTTGAGAAAATGTACCTCAAAATCTTACCCAAAAAAGTTATTTCAGACTGGGAAAAAAGAAAGAAAAAATTAAATACACAGATCACAGAATATTTCATATGGAAAGGGGATACATCAAGTTGTTTCTGTTCCTGAACTCAGAAATGGTTAAAACTTAAGCTATAGTCACTGCCCTCCATCTTAAAAATATTCAGCCCATCCATGTTACTTCATAATAACTGAAGCTCTAGGTTGGTAAACCCCAGCGTCCCTGTACATGTGCTCTGCACAAGCAGCGAAGCGTGAGGCCACCCACCAAAGCTTTTCCTGGGAGGCCTGGAAACCTGCACTACACCAGGACAGGAGGAGAGTCTGTGGCAGGCTCTATAGGGAACTGACATTTTCCTGACCAGCACACTGAATGGGCCCCACTGGGATGATCTGAAAAAGGCCTCATTTGCTTGTGAAAGAGGTGAGAATTTCCCAGGCTTATTTTCTTTAGCTTGGGGGAGGAGGAAATTCTTTGCAGATGTTGTCATACTCAGGGCCCAGGTGTATGCTTACTGAACTAAAGATCTTGATATTTTTGTCCAACTCATTACTGTCACATGCAACAGAATTAAAACAAAGGAGTTCACATATATAGCAAAACTGGGGATGATGTAATTCATCACTGGCTTTGAGTCGCATATGGGCTATGATGCTAACACGACAGTTACCTGGCAACAAGTGAAGTGTTACTTCCTTCTCCGTTACTTCCTTTTCATTTGTGTGAATTTCCTAAAAGAGAAAAGCAGAGGGTAAAATTTTTCTTTGTTTAAGGGTTCAAAGTGAACAATGTACAGCCATGTTTTCCATATCTACATTATGGTATCATATATCCTCAGGAGCTTTTTGTTTATTTGGCAAGCTACTTTTTTAAAAGGTGTTTTTAACTAAAAGACAGAAAATTTCAGTAAGTTAGGGCTATTCCATGTATTAAACTAATTATTTAGGATTGACAACAGAGGGATGGGATGGGCATCCTTTACAAGGAGTGTCACACAGCAAAGCAAGGCAGCTCAAGAGAGTCAGAAAGAGAACAGACCTGCCACGGTGTGATTCCCCTTAGCCCCCAGGGAGCATCCAGAAGTAAGAGAAGATCGTGTGTTCCTGAGGAAAGGGACATAGCAGTGGGCCTGAAGGTTAGAACAGGAAAATGTGAGTGTATCGAGTCAGCACTGATCCCTTTACTCTACAGCACACCAAGGCTCGGTGAAGACAGCTGCCAACTTTCTTTGCCCATTCTAAGACAGGGCCAAAGGGGTGAAATTACTTCTAATGGGGAATCCAGGCTGGGTTCTGTGTCATTCTTTATCAATAAAAATATATTCAAGTGTCTCTATTTTGGGTTCAGCGTTTATTGGATATTCAGAGATAATTAACAAACCTTTCAATTCAGCCTTTATAGCATCAAAAAAAAAAAAAAACACGCCTTAATGAATTAACAAACCAACATGATGATAAATGGCTATTAACATAAAAAAAGGGCAGATGGGCCTCTTAATGATGTCTACCACACCATCTATGAAGTATTCTTGCCAACTATCTGACCTCAGTCTGCTTGAACTTTCATGCTAATCAACCACTTTATTTATTTGTTTTTAATTAAGACAGAGTCTCACCTTATCACCCACAGTAGAGTTTCATAGCATTATGGCTCACAGCAACCTCAAACTCTTGAGCTTAAGCGATTCTCTTGCTTCAGCCTCCCTAGTAGCTGGGACTAAGGCACCCACCACAACAATGAACTATTTTTTGTTTGTTTGTTTAGCAGGCCAGGGCTGGGTTTGAACCCACCAGCCCTGGAGCATGTGGTCGGCGCCTGAACCACTGTGCTATAGGTGCCACCAATCAACCACTTTAAAAGAAATACTAGAGGCTGGGTTCAGTAGTTCACGTGTGCAATCCCAGCATTTGGGGGAGGCAAAAGTGAAAAGATTGCTTAAGGCGAGAAGTTTGAGATCAGCCTGGGTAACACAGTGAGACCCTACCTCTACAAAAAGTTGTAAAACTCAGAAGGGCATGGTGGCATATGCCTATAGTTCCAGCTACTCAAGAGACTGAGGCTAAGGCTGAGGCAAGAGGATCACTTGAGCCCAGGAAGTCAAGGCCATAACACCGGGCTATGTATGACCGTTCCCAGTGCACTCCAGCCTAGGTGATAAAGGGATATCCAAAGGCAGATGTGGTGGCTCACATCTGTAACCCCAGGACTTGGGAGGCTGAGGCGGTTGCCTAACCTAACAGGTTTGCAACCAGCCTGAACCAGAGTGAGACCCTGTCTCTAAAATATAGGGCATAGTGGCAGGCACTTGTAGTCTCAGCTACTTGGGAGGCTGAGGCAAGAGAATCACTTGAGTCTAAGAATTTGAGGTTGCTGTGAGCTAAGATACCATGGCACTCTACCAAGGGTGACCAAATGAGACTGTCTCCAAAAAAAAAGAATAATAATAATAATAATGGTAATAATGATAATAATGAAGGATATGCAGTTTCCATCTTTTTTTTTGAGACAGAGTCTTACTCTGTTGCCCTGGGTAGAGTGCCCTGGTATCACAGTTCACAGCAACTTCAAATTGCTGGGTAGGTGGGACTACAGGCACCAACCACAATGGCTGGCTAGTTTTTCTTTTTCTATCTTTAGTAGAGATGAGGTCTCACTCTCGCTCAGGCTATCCACCGGCCTCAGCCTCCCAAAGTGTTAGGATTATAAGTATGAGCCACTGTGCCCAGCCAGGCTATCCAGTTTCAAAAAAAGAAAAAGAAAGAAAGAAATACTATGCGTGACTATGGAAAATTCTACAAGACACAAACCTTGTTAACAAATAAAACTAGATTTCATTTTTCTATAGAAAAGTCTTCTGAATTTGTTAATTCAGACAAAAATATGGCATTTGAAGAAACTTGGGTACAGCTGAGGCAGACAGGGAGACAGCCCATTGTGAGGCTGAAGGAGAATGGCATGGCTTCTTCAGAGAGCCCATTTTGAGATGGTCTATTTAGAAGGTGATTGGCTCGGTGCCTGTGGCTCAAGTGGCTAAGGCGCCAGCTACATACACCTAAGGTGGCGGGTTCAAATCCAGCCCGGGCCAAACAACAATGACAGCTGCAACCAAAAAACAGCCGGGCGTTGTGGCGGGCGCCTGTGGTCCCAGCTACTTGGGAGGCTGAGGCAGGAGACTCACTTGAGCCCAGGAGTTGGAGGTTGCTGTGAGCTGTGATACCACAACGCTCTACCCAGGGGAATAGCTTGAGGCTCTGTCTCCCAAAAAAAAAGAAAGTGATTGCAATTTCCACCCCAGGAGATGCCAACAAATTAAGTCCCTCTGGGGCAGTCCTTCGCAAACTTGGGGCATGTCAGATCATGTGGGGAACCTGTTAACTATACACTCTCAGGCTCCCACAACCCTATGGAATCAGAGTGATGGGATACAGCCTAGCCCTTTGGGTTTTATTTATTTTTTTATAACTAATTATTTTTTATTAAATCATAACTTTGTACATTGATGCATTTATGGGGTTCAGGGTACTGCTCTGATACACAATGTGAAATGTTTACACTGAACCAAGTAACACATCCATCACAATTATACTCATTTCTTAATAGTTTTGAAATGTACCACTGTATCATGCACATTAAGTGAGGTCCCCCAAATACCCTCCCTCCTCCCACATCCCCCTCCCCACTCCTCCCCTTTGGTTTTATAAAATACTCCCTAGATGATTCAGATGCTTTGCTCTAGGGTTAAGCAAGAGTGACTATTCTTGCCCAGGTAAATGCTAGGAGTGTTTTTGTGTTTTAGAAATTCTCATTGAGCATCATGATCTGTCATTGGTGAAGAACTAAATTAAAGCACAATTATTTTTGACAGGTTCTATCATTCTTTCTGAGAAGAGAGCAAAGTTATTCATTAAATTCAATCGGCTGTTAGAAAACTATAGTGATCATCTTGACTGGTGCTTGGAATTCAATCTAAACACAGAGCAAGCCTGGTGAAGACTAGCCCCTTTTTTATGTTAGCAGAATGAATGAAGTTATCCAATCCAAAACTACCCACATTCATTCTTGAAATGGTTAGTGAAATTCTTTCTTTACATTTCTGAAACAAAACAATCAGGAGACACTTTTTAGGATTCTGTCCTACTCCCAAGCCCCCTTCCCCAGGCTACCTGTTTCCTGCTTTCACAATCTCCTGGAGTGAACCACTTCCTACCCAGTCAACTGTATGGGGGAAACTAACAACAGCAAAAACATCCAACAAATCATTTTATCTGTCCTATTAATTTGGCTAAAGGCTAAGAGATGCTAATCAAGCTGGCTGCTTAAACTAGAGACTTGCACATTTGGCTACAAAATACTGGGAAGCAGAGAGAGCTGTTCTACAGAGAAAAGACACATGACAAGGATCGGAGAGATAAACACCATAAAAACCTCGACTTGGACACACTTAATAATGGCCTGGGCTCATGACTTTCCAAGCTTTTGTCAGGTCCAACCACACCTCTGACCCACAGTTCCATGAGTCATATCTGTATCTATAAAATAGATAGAGTGGGTTTCTATTAACTGTCATCAAAGATACGGACTTAGGTCAAATGCATTAACAAAACAGAAACCACAAACATCACCCAACATGTCAATGTACAATTTACCTAGAGCCACAGGATTAGGAACTAAGGTCACAGCTACCACCTAACAAAAAATATTGGCAGAAAAGAGTCAAATGCCAGAAATAGCATCTACTGCCTCAAGTGTGTGTGTTTTAGGTGGGGTGAGGATACATGAAGCCTCCAAACTAAGGCCCTCAAAAAGGATTTTGCTCTTATCCAGCTGATGAAAACGCCTCTAAACAGCTTTCCTTGGCTGCTACCACCACATTCCCTGCACGATCTCTCTGGGTCTAAAGGTACATCCCCTACCCTGCCCCTACCAAACACAGACAAGGTAAAGAAGAAAGTGACTCAAAAAACTTAAAGCAACAACAATAACAAAAACCCCACATCATTCTCAGCCTTGTCATTTCCAAACTAAGTTATATATGTATACATTCATAGATACACACATATGCTTTTATTTTATTTTATTTTTTTTTGAGACAGGAGCCTCAAGCTGTCCCCCTGGGTAGAGTGCTGTGGCATCTCAGCTCACAGCAACCTCCAACTCCTGGGCTCAAGCAAGTCTTCTGCCTCTGCCTCCCACGTAGCTGGGACCACAGGCGCCCGCCACAACGCCCGGCTATTTTTTGGTTGCAGCCGTCATTATTGTTTGGTGGGCCCGGGCTGGATTCGAACCCGCCACCTTGGGTGTACGTGGCTGGTGCCTTAGCCACTTGAGCCACAGGTGCCGAGCCACACATATGATTTTAAAAAATGTCTTTTAAAGCAGAAGATATTATGCTTCTATGGACAGCTGAAGTTTAAACATGAACAAAGAGAAGCTCATTTATAAGCAACAAAGATTAAGTTAAATGAATCCTTACCAAGTGCTAGGTACCAGGCACTCAAGGATGAATAGGAGCCTGCAGTCCAGGAGCAAGAAGAGATAACACTGGCACACTTTTACAGTCACAATGTAACACAATGGAAGCTTAGTAAAGGTACTGACAGGGAGCTATGGAGCACCTAACTGTAGGGAGACCCACACAGGGGGAGAAGAAGGGGAACCGTCCAAGCCCATCCTTCTAGGGAAGTGGCTCCTATAGAATGTGCTGGAACTAGTGACAAGAAGAGAGAGGAAG